TAAAAAATAGATACAAATCATGTAAGTAAATGATTTTATCGAATTACCTCTCTGAGGCTTATTCTTATTTTTTCTTTTCTATCTACTTTTAATTCATGTAGTGTTTGTGGATGTGTCTTTGTAAATTCTCCTAAATTGTTTTCAAAATGAGATGAATACAAAGCAACAAAGAGACAAGAAGTACATAGATCTGAAGCTACCTGTCAATGGCCACTTTACAATCCCAAAGGCTGGCCAGTCACCTGTAAAGGTAGCTCAGGATACAAAGGTACAACTCCCAGCCAAGTGGAACATCATAACATGTTCTCTCTTGGAGCACATGGCCTTGCCACCCCACATCAGTCACGGTCTGCAACAGTGTCCCCAATGGCGTTGCATGAAACGTGAGTCAGAGGAGTGAACAGTAGCCGTAAGGAGAGGGGAAGAGGTAGGAGACAGTGCTATGGTCCCACACGGCGGGACAACTTGGAATCCAAAGTGAACGGGCATCTTTGCTGCTTCTCAGCACATTTAATATGGTAATGGCCACTGTGACGTTCCAAGAGGGAACTACAGACTATGACGCCTTTCCCGAACCTAACTAAGTACAGATCTCATGTCCTGCAGAGTGAGAATGACACAGAATGCTCTTCAGGACTCCATGCTCCCTGACAGAACCTCCCACAACAGATGATGCTTTACCGTCAAACTCATTGTTTCCGGACGCTCCTCCTGTCTTCTGGCATAGAGAATGGCTCCTGCCCACCCCCACCCCCCTGCCCCCCAACCCTGAAACAGGAATTATAGGGCCAGCATCTAAGGGGGCTCCCCCATTTCCCTGGAAATTTATTCATGAGGGCACTGAAGTGGAGACTTCACCTCCCCTTACTCTCCAAGGTGCTTTGAGAAGCCAGTCATCTCCTGCCCATAGGGACCAGCTGGGTGGTGGTGCCACAAGTTAGAACGCTGAGTGTTTTTCGATCAGATGAATCACTGCATTCCTGTTGCTAAGAATCAAGTCATGTGACATTATACCCAACTCCTTTGTTAAAGAGTAAGGTAAGGTCAATGTCACTAGGACGGCACTTTACCTTTTAACACTATTTAGAGGGCAGTTCTTGAGGACACTTGATCTTCAGTATGGACCATGGAAATTATTGATTTGAAATGAATTAAACAAGACAAGATGTTGAAAGTAAAGCACTGTTATATTGTGACATTGACATTGAAATAGTCTCCCTACACCTACACAGTCGGTTTTATCATTGATGTTCTGTGAAACACACACCCATGCTGCCCTTGTCACTCACATGTAAGTGCCTGAATGTGATGCAGCTCACAATATGTTGACATGTACATTCTTTCAATGGACTTTTGAAAATATAAAGAAGGCAGAGCACCTTCTCATGCCTTAGTATTTAGAGAATTCTAGACAAAGGGATTAGGTGCTCCAGGGCTCATGTATTTTCATTACCTCCTAGCCCATATGTGGGGATGGGTTCATTAGGTAGAGTACGCAAGATGCCAAATTTCATGATGCTTCAAAGCAAAGCATCAACTTCACACATGTTCGTAAGATGTAGGAATAGACACGAAGGGTAACTCAGGAAGTAAGAAAGCCCGATTCGGGGAGCTGACCTTGTATTCTTTGGCAAACAGAACTAGGATGGAGCGAGATAGCAATCTGCCAATATTTGAAGACGTAAACATCACTGAGTGAGAGCATTATCTGGCCTGCTGGGCATGAATTTCACTAGCATTCTTACCAAGAAATGCCACTGTTAACTGCTGTTGGAATTGGAGACAGTTTTAATAGAATCCAAGGGAAGATGAGACTGTTTCTTGCCAGACATGTAACTGTCTCACTGAGGGCAAAGCCTCAAGTTAAAAGAGAAGCATATTCTTGCTGCATTTCATATCATTCTAAGTTCTAGGCTCATGACCAGCAAGCATGGTGTCCTTTGGGTTTTAACTTGTGGTTTTCTGAATGGAAAAAGTACTCGGTTAATTTTGGTGCCCACGTCCCCAGCGGTAGGAAAAACAGAGATAGCATCTTACCCTTGGGTCTCGTTACGGCCTAAAATGCAGCCACGTACAGCAAGGATCTACATCTCATGTCAACATGCCAATGACAGGAGGAACATTCTAGCTACCACCCAAGTCGGTTTTCCGTATATCACTGCTCACTAGATATGCAGAAGCCTGATGATCTGGGATTTTCAGTTATCATTTCTTGAATTACTTGAAGGGCAGCAAGCAGCTAAAGTTCATGTAAACTAGTTCAACCATTCCTTCAAGAAATAAGTATTGGGCCTTTATTATACATCACATGAGGGGCCTTATCCTGAAGTTTATGAAACGTGAGTTCCAGGGCTCCTCGCTTGCACCAGCCTTCTCCAAAGCTTTGCACCTAATATGATGGTCATCATTTTTCATTTCTTTTCCTTGAAGGGGGCCCCCAAATTGTGCGATATTCAACCTCCATTAAGTCTTGATCAGCCTCTGGTGCCGGCACTGGAGAACACACATGAGAATTACAGCCTGACACCAGGGCGATTTTAACTGAAACAGGATGTGGACTGAAACCCAAACCCAGGCAGCTAGGACCTCAAAACACCCCGAGAATCAGACACCTGGCTGCAGTATTCCTGCTCTGAGACACCCCCTTTGATGCCGATGACCCCACTTGACTCTGAGGAGCAGTGTGATCTGTAATCCCAGGGACATGGTCAGGCCCACGATGTCATTTCCCTGAACTGAGAACCCTGGATGGGGGTATGATGCCCAGCCCCCCACAGAAGGAGCTGCCTGCTTTGTTTAGTGTGGATCACACAGGCTACGCTGCTCTGAGTTTGAGCTACAGGGGCTGGGGAGGAACAAAAGGAGACGGCGCTGCTGCTGCTGCTGCTGCTGCTAATTCTTTCCAACGTTTCCTAGACCATCCGTCCAGAGGTAGCTCTTCCACTTAATCGCTACCTGCATATGTTTCTGCACAGAAAACGAACTCCTTGTTCTTGCGTATCTTCTCATGCCGTGCGCGCGATCAGGCAACCCTGATTCATCTTGGTATCGTGACGAAAATAGCTGGAATTTTGTGCTATAGAATTTTAGGTCCAGGAGCGCAGACTGCCTTCTGAAATTAGGCGTCATGCAAACTTCTAGTCAAATTGGGTGGCGGCAACTACGGGTTTCTTGATCTCTTCACCAATGAAGGCACCCTGCTCATTGAAGGGAATGTAGGCACACGGACGCCTCGGGAGCTCGGACAGTTCTTTATGAAATGAGCAGGGACGTTTTTAATAAACAGCCCTGGGACTGTGTTCAGAGTTTCTGCGTGTACTCCCGCTGCATAACGCTGAGTGGAGACGACCACACCACTGTCTGATTAACCCAGAGAGCATCTGGCACAGGGAGCACCGTTTGTCGATTCCAACTTTCTTGCCTTGTCTTTTAACAGCAATATCTCTTTGCTCATTTTTTTTTCCTTTCATCTCAACCAAGTAACACTTAGTAAATAAAACTTCTTTCCCAGGACCTTACTTTTTAGACTATATGTTATTTTCTCTCCCTCTGTGACCTCTTCTGTCCTTTTCAAGGTGGGGAGGCACGCTTCCCTTAGTTCTGTCCCTGGGGGAGGGTTTGGCACTGCTGGGCTGCTCACTTCTGGCCACACAACTCCTTTAACCTGTCTATAAAACTGGCACCAGCAGGCTACCTGAGCAGCATCAAAGATCCAGGTGTGTTGGGTCAGACCTGTCCCCTTCTATGGCACGGCTTCCTTGAGAAAAGGGAACCACGCCCTTGGGTTGCTTTGCTTCTCTGTTACCCCTGTTCAGAGCCCCACCACACACCCCATCCCTCCAATCGCATCGAAATCCCCACTCCCAAGGAGATGAGATGAAGAGGCAGGCAGGAGAGAGAAGGATGGATAGCTGGCTAATATGCCTCTTGCATTTACCCACTAATAAGCAACAAACTTCTTCGCAAGCATAGAAGCTAACATTAACTCTTGCCATAGCTTCCTGACTATTTTTGGAGTGGAGTTATTTTTGCTTTCAAAGAGGCATTATAAAACAACACATTTGGAGACACTGATTTTCTCCAGCGGGAAGTGTTTGAATTGTTGTGGAAGGAAAGACAGTAGCTGAATTACTTATAAATTAAAGACTGAAGGAAATGATTAGGGAGGGTGATATGCCTTCAACAACCCTTCCCCGGGACTTGTTGGCAGCTCTGTGGTGCTTACGGCTCATTCTGTGGACTGTTATGTTGGTTCTAGAATTCGGATGGGTCCATGAGGCAAGCACAGTGTACAAACAGCTCCAGACTCTGAGGCAATGTGTGAGAGGGAGTCAGGAGCTGCCCCCTGTCTCTAGCAGATGAGAAAAGGGGAGGGGGGGCAGGAAAGGATATTTCAAGTACCTGACATTTCTTATTAAGTCCCCAAATGGTTGCCTCTATTCGGTGCCTAAAGCCACACATTGGTGGTTTTCCTTGCAGCAAGCATGTTGCTGTCATTCAGGTATATAATTACACGCACACCCTAAACAAGAAAGTGCAGCCTTTCTCAGATCCCCTCCACGTAAGAGTGTGCTCAGCCCTGTGCAAAGCAGCCAACAGATCTGCTTTTGTTGGCTGTCCAGGACTGCTGGCATGGGGAGGCGGGGGTCTTGCTCTCTCTCTTTCCCCCCAAATAGGGCTGTCTGCACTGGTTCTAAGTGTGAAGAGAGGAAATTGGGGAAATAGCACTTTCTATAAAATGACCACAACTGTTGGTGGAAGGAAGGAGTGGTAAGAGGCGAGGGGGAGGGCTTTTCAAAAATGTGTTTTCCTTAAGCAACCAGAATCACAAAATTCAACTAAGACTATTTCTATAAAAACCTCAAACTACTTATGTGTTGATTTAACTCGCTGAAGAAACGTCAGCTCCGTTATTTGATGAGTATGGCTGAGATATGACTACTGGCGATCTGGCTAAACTTTTCTACTTTCCAACCTTTTGTGAAGATTTGCCATATGACCCGTGGGTCACCGCTCCCTGCATGGCCGTTTGTTATATTCATAGCGAGGGAAGGAGGAACACCGGGAAGAGCACACCAGGGGAGCTGCGTGTGAGGTGAGTGCTGCATTGTTCAGCTGGAAGTCTCCTGATATTTATTTTTCATAAAATGATGGCATTTAAACCTGCCTTATAGTCGGATTTGACTCTTTCCTTTTGCTGCTTAGGACAAATTTACAAGGAGAGATTTATCGCCTAAGGCTATTGTTGATCATTACACATTTGTTTAAACATTTATGGGTCCAGACAAAATAGAATAGGATCTGGGGTAACAATGATTGTGTGTGTGTGTGTGTGTGTGTGTGTGTGTGTGTGATTTTCAGGTTTCAAAGAAAGAACTTTAAGAATCATTTGTAATCTTCCAAGCCCTTCCTTTAGGTCAAGGAAAAATATTAAGATATTTTCTGATAAGAAGAACCAAATCTAAAGGTTTGAATTGAGTGTGACAAGCTTTGGTCTCTAATTTTCTCAAGTTAAATATTGCATTTGTGGCAAGTTATTGAGAGTGGGACTTAAAGAAATTGTGACGTCAAGCAACATTCATTGAAACAGCAAATTCTTATTTCCTTCAGGCAGCTAAATGCGGAAGTGCAGAGAGAAGATTAAAAAGACAAAAAAAAAAAACTAGCTTCACAGGAGCAATATGGAAATTTCACCCAGTATAGCATTTATTAGCCGAGAATAGCCTAAACACACATGAAATTATATACAGATTATAAAACACATTATCCACAGGTCGTGGACAAGGTCCATAATGTTTTCAAAGTCAGAATTGTTTACATTCCTTATACCTACCACGGAAAACTTACATAACTTTTCCTCAGAAGGATAGGTAACAGATTTTAAAATATTCCAGTGAAGTTTCGCCTTATGGCAACCTAAACTGATTTCTTTTCTGACAAAGGAAAAATAACTGCTGGGGATCGACCCAAAGAACTGTATAATCGCTGAAAACCAATAACAAACTTTCCCTGACAGACAATATGAGAGAACGATACTTGCAAAGAGAAGTTGGAGTAATTCTTCTCCCTTGATTTAGATCACTTACACCCACAGCAAACAAGACAACATCTGGATAGTGTTTCACAGGCAAGAAAAAAAAAAGCAGGTTTTTTTGCCCCATCATTAAGTAAAAACCCGTTTTCCACATGCAAACAGCACTTGTAAAATTCCCCAGATAAGCTTGTGGATGTCTTGAATGACTTAAGTAAGTTTTCAAAGAATCCCAACGTTTTCTTTACCTTTAGAAGTAAAGTGTTTCATAAATATCTCCAACTTGCTGCCTGCTCCAGTGCTGACACAAGCCCATGCCTCTTACCTGCAGACGGACGAAGCCAGGCTCCTGGCTCGATGTGAGGTCCTGACAAGGCAAACAAATGATCAGTCCATGCAGGTTGCCTGAGGAAAGATAGGTGTTCAGGTTCCCTCAAAATGAAAATGCTCTCGCTGTGCACTGTCAGTCAAAAACAAGTTGGTACAAGTTTGAGTAGGATTTACCTGAAGGAACTGAAGAGAGAAAGAACGAGATTGGAAGAGACTGGAGGGAGGGAGGGAGGGCCGAGGAAGGAGGGAGGGAGAGAGAGAGAGAGAGAGAGAGAGAGAGAGAGAGAGAGAGAGAGAGAGAATATGAGAAAGGAGTCCACGAGGTAAGCAGCGTGTCTTAAGGAAATGTACAGACCAGCAAAGGATTCTAATGGACACCAGCCTGAGCTCACCTGTATAAAAAACACTAATGCCCTTTTAAAGAATGCCGCTTAATCTTTGAAGAAACTTCCGCGGCTCTTATCAAAGCCTTTTAAGGTCCTTTTGCCTGAATAAATAAATAAATAAATAAATAACCAGATTATCTTTTCTAACAAACTCTCATTTCCCCCTTGTTCTCTCTTCCTCTCCCCCGTCCCCACTCCAAATGAACATTAACAAAAATCACAGCCTCCAGGAAAAGTCAGGACAAACCCACTCAGATAATACATGCATCAAATACATGTGCACAAAATGTCACAGAGGGAAACGGTGTTTCTACCTCAATTCCGTTCCTATAGGCTCGCTTTTCTTGATCAAAAAGTGTCAAGAAGTTGGATAGGTATGGTAACGTTGGGTCCTTCTGTACTACGGTAATTGGGATTGGGGATCGCTGTTGGAATCTGGCTTTCAGCATTTATGCACAGAGTCTGGTACTTTTGTAAGAAAGGGTCAGACGTCCTTAAGGCAGGAGTCTAAGGGGAGGTCTCTCAGTCTCTGGACACGGAGGCAGCGAGCTTCTTTCTGGAATGAAGTTGTGTGTCCTTCCTATGCCAAGCAGTTTCTTGTAGCCATCATGCCAAGGGCGCCCTGTCCAAGCCCGTGTGGGTCAGCAGCCTTCCCATGGACTGAGTGCACGGGGACCCTGGTCGGTTCTAAAAGAGAGAATGACTTTCCTGCAGTCGCTTTCTCCAGCGAGATCCCTTGCACTGGTCCAAAGGCAACCCCGAGGGGAGTGAAGGCTCTCTGCCACAAAGGAGCCGATGGCACCTGGGCAGGGTCAGGTGGATGTGGCTGCTTAAACTGGAAGGAACAGGGGTGACTTAATTTGCTGGAAGCAGAGGATATGTCCCCTCCTCTGAGATCTGGGTTCCACACTCCAGTATGTCCTCTGCTTGACCCAAGCTCCTGGGTGCAGCCACTGCTGCTCTGGGGGCTTGAACTAAATGTGGGCAGGAAGGGGTGAGGTGTTAGTCTGTTTTGGGGGGAAGGTCTGAGACCTCCCCGTTTCTCTGCCCTCTCCCTTGACTCAAAGTCCCGACATAAGTCACTCTTTCCCCTGTTCTCCCAGCGAGAACGATGCATCTGTGGCCTTCCCTTTCGCTCTCTTTCCCATGAAGCCAGGACTTCCTCTACATCCTGGGAGACTGTGGTGGCCCCTCAGAGACACTGGTCTCCCAGAGGCTCAGGGCTTGAGAGAATGAGAAGCCACGCAAGGTTCAGACTTCTTAAAGCTGCCGGTCTTACTGTAGAATTGGATAGGCCTCATTGGGGGATATTATAACAGCCCCAGGTAACAGGGGTAAATGCAGAGGTGGAGAAAAACAACAGGGAAAACCCAGGAGTCAAGATCTGATCATACCTCCTCGGGTCTTCTTCCATCGCCCAGTCCCTTATCATTGTTCTGGGCTTAGCCCAAATGGGGCTTCCTCAGCGATGCCGTTTTTAAGGTCCTCACCTCATCTGGTCCCAATCCAACTTTGTACCTCGATATTCCCTTCTACTCTGAATGCCACTTAGCACTGTCTAAATTGTCCCAACTCTTTCTCATGTTCTATATGTTCTATTTCAGAGTTCCACTGCACTTGTCTTGTTCACTACGTGTCCCTCGAGGGACACCTGCCACGTCAGAGCCCCCCCCCCAAAAAAAAACTACTTGTCAAGTAGATTAACAAAAGGTTATCAATGGAAGGCATGCTTCGTTATGGTGGGACTTTAATTCTTATCTCCTTAGTTTCAATTAATATTTGCAGTTTCACCTTTAATTAGTAAACTAACACTTGAATACTCTTTCTCCATTTATCAAGCTCTTTCAGAAATGTTATTAATTCAACGTTCAGGCCAAAAAGGCGTAATGAGTTGCCTTTTAAGGGTGAGGAAGTGAAAGCCAGAGAGGGTAAGTGGTTTGCTCAAAGTCACAGAGCTAGAAAGAGGAGGGTTGAGGCTCAAAACAGCTCTTCTCACTCTCAGACCATGCAGTTTTCATTAGGTTACATTTTTCTCAAATTACTCTATTGTGGACATACATATGCATGTGTGGATTCCTTTGAGTATCAAGTAATATACGACATGAATTATAATCACAGTCTAATACTCTGGCAAGTTTTACTTCTTGCAGGACTATGTATAGTAGAGCTCATATTCATTCATAACAGGCTTAAAAGTGATGAAAGAAGAAAATGAGTCCAAAGGAGTATGAATACATGAAATAATTTAAATGTTAAGCCAATATTTTTCATTTTGGTGATGTTTACCAGTTTTCATGCTTTTTTCATTTGGGGATATTTAACAATTGTATCTTGAGATTTCTGATGGGACAGAATTCACAGATGGAGGTGAGGCATTATATTAATAAATGCAGAGTTAAAGTGTTGAGAGGTAAGTGGGTAAGTTCTAGAAGAATAAGCATCCATGCGATTTCTGTCACCAAGGACAGGCTATTTTGTATGTTTTAATAGTTGAATGAGCTAACTATATCTGGAAATTTCTGAGGCTAGTGAGGGGGAAAAGGACAAACGATTAATCTTGACAAAAAATACTTTGTGTCATTCAATCTCCTTCTCATCAGCGAGTAAAATTTGCTTCACAACCTGGTTCTAAGGAGTAGGGGCTAGAATCTACCGTATAAGATTATTTCAAATAACACAGTTAATCATTTTGTAACTGAAGATGGTCAACGTTTTTGATATTTTAGCCCAAATTAAAAAACAAACATGAATGACTATTCAGTAAATCACCTTTCTCTCTCTCTCTCTCCCTCCCTCCTCCCCAATTAATTAAAAGCCACATTCTTGCATGTGTCAAATTTAAATAGAATATACATCTAAAGCCTAGATTTTTAACCAGAGTTCTAAAAAGATGTCTGAAAACTGGGCATAAAAGATTACAAGAACCAGCTTTTTCAAGAGAGCCATTTCCCAAGAATAATTTCCAAAAAAGAAAAAAATATGCTATAGTGCTTCCAATTCTCATCTTGGCTTGAATCGAGACATAAAAAACTTTGAAGTGTGATGAGAGGGAAAAAGAATACTTTTTTACCTTTGAATAGATCTACTTAAGCTGGGTTAGATATAGAACTATGCAGGGAGGGGGGTTGCCGTGTCAGCTTTTAAAACTTCATCAAAGCCTCCCATGACCCACCAGCTTAAAGAGTCCTCTACAGGCCAGGTAGGACTCACCCTTTGCCTCTATTTGCTCCCACAATTTTGTCCCAGCGGCATGTGACGTGTCCCCTAGGGATGCAGGTGGGCCATGGACAACGAAGGGTGTCCATTTCAATCCTTCCAGCCTCTGCAGGCCGTAGGCAGGCACCTGCT